CCGACCTCTGTATTAACTATCTACACCTCGCTGAAAATCGGGCCATAAGAGTGAGTTCTGTTTCTGACCAATAAGCCTGGTTCTTTTTTTAATGATTTTTTTCCTTCCACTCTATCTGGGACCTTTCAATGTGGTCCCTTTTTTAAAGCAGTTGGTAGTGGTGGCTGGACACCATCTGGTTCTTCTGGTCTCAGAGTCATAGTAAATGATGCTCACATGTCCCATTGGTCCATTGGGCTAGTTGATTCCAAGCATCTTCACATTTTTATTACTCTTCTTTCTTCTACACATGGAATGATCCACCTTAGATGGCTGTTCATGAGCTTTTAAGATCCCACTTGCTAATCACCAAAGTAGGCGCAACATTCATATATCGATGGAAAGATTAGAGGTTGTAAAATGGTGCAGCTGTTCAGTAAACAGTTTAGTAGTTTTGCAAAATTTTAAACATAAAGTTACTATTTGTTTGTTGTTGTTGCTAACTGTCGTCAAGTTGGTCCCTGTATAGGGTTTCCATATGACCTAGTAATTCCACTCCCACTACATACATACATACCCCAGATAACTGAAAACATGTCCACAAAAATACCTAAACACGAATGCATATTCATAATAGTCTGTAAGTAGAAACTACCCAAATGTCCATCAACTGATAAATGAGTAAATCAAATGTGGTGTATCTATATGATGCAGTATCATTCAACCATAAAAGGAATGAACTACTGATACAAACGGATGAATCCTGAAAACATGCTATGTGAAAGAAGTCAGCCACAATAGACCATATGTTACATAGTTCAATTAATACTCAAAGTCCAGAAAAGGCAAATCCAGAGAGAGAGAGAAAATAGATTCATGTTTGCCAGGGTCTGGGAGCGAAGAAAGGGGGAGTGACTGCTAAAAGGTGTAGAGTTTCTTTTTGGGGTGAAACAAAGGTCTTAACTATAGCGTAGTGATGTTTTGTTGTTAGGTGCCATCAAGTCAGTTACGACTATACACAGCAAAACAAAACACCGTCCAGTCCTATGGCTTCCTCACAATTGTTATGCTTAAGCCCATTGTTGTCGGCACTGTGCCAATCCACCTGGTTGGGGATTTTTTCACTGACCTTCCACTTTGTCAAGTAAGAAGACCTCCTGACATGTCCAAAGAGTGATGCAGTCTTCAAACTGACATCTTTGCTCTTTAGCACTTCAAATAGGTCTTGTGCAGTAGATTTGCCTAATGCAATATATTCTTCAATTTCTTGACTGCTGCTTCCATGACTGTAGAATATAGATTCAAGCAAAATGCAGTCTTTGACACCTTTAATCTTTTCTCTGTTTACCATGATGTTATTTATCGGTCCAATTCTGAGGATGTTTGTTTTTTTAACACTGAAATAGAACCCATACTGCAGTCTGTATTTTTTTATCTTCATCCGTATTTCAAGTCCTTTTTGCTTCCAACAAGCATGGTTGTTTCATCTGCATATCGCAAGTTGTTAATCATCAGTTTGCTGATAGATTTCAATTTATATTCTATCAATTCCAGGAAACTAGTTTTTTGCCAATGCTTTTAGTGCCGCTTGGATTTCTTCATATAATCGGTTGGAATAATCATGTGGTACTTCTTGAAATGGGTGAGCATTGATTTTTTTTGGCACAGTGACTGTATTTTCCTTCCATCTTCTTTTGATGCTTCCTGTGTCATGCGATATTCTGTCCACATAATCCTTTGATATTGCAACCCAAGGCTTGAATTTTCCTTCAGTTCTTTCAGCTAGAGAAACAGTGAGCATGTTCTTCCCCTTTGGTTTTCTGATTCCCAGACTTTGTACATTCATTATATTACCTGACTTTGTTTTCTCAAGCTGCCTTTTGAAATTTTCTGTTCGGCTTTTTTATTTTCTAATTTCTTTCAGTCACTTTAGTTTCTCTATACTCAAGAGAAAGTTTCAGAATTTTTAAACATGCATTTTGGTCTTTAATTTCTGTCTTTTTAATGACTTTTTGCTTTCTTCATGTATGATGTTCTTGATGTCATCCCACAACTCTTCTGACCTTTGATCATTAGTGTCTAATGCAATAAATCTGTTCTTAAGATGGTCTCTAAATTCGCATGGGATATATTCATGGTCATATTTTGGCTTTCATGGATTTGTTTTAAATTTCTTCAGCTTCAGCCTGAATTTGCACATGAGTAATCAATGGTCTGTTCCACAGTCAACCCCTGGCCTTGTTTTGGCTGATGAGATGGATCTTCTCCATTATTTCTTCCCACCAATGTAATCAATTTAATTCCTATGTATTCCATCTGGTGAGTTCCATGGGTACAGTCACAGTTTATGTTGTTATTAAAAAAAAGGTATCTAAAATGAGTAAGTCATTGGTCTTGCAAAATTCTATCATGCAATCACCAGCATCATTTCTATCAACAAGGCCATATTTTCCAGCTACTGATACTTTCTCTTTGATTCCAACCTTCACATTCCAATCACCAGTAATGTTTGGTCAATCTCATACTAAAGAAGTTGGCAGAATTCTTTAAATTCTGCATCACTGCAGTGGTTGGTGCATAAATTTGCATCATAGTGATATGAACTGGTCTTCCTTATAGGTGTATGGATATTACCCTACCACAGATAGCATTGTACTTCAAGACAGGTCTTAAAATGCTCAGTTTGATGATGAATGTGACACCATTCCTCTTCAACTGGTCAGATTCAAAATGCCAATACCAGTCCATTTCAGTTCACTAATGCCTAGGATATTGATTCTTATGCATTCCATTTCGATGACTTCCAATTATCCTAGATTCATATTTTCTGCTCCCGTAAAGATTTACAGCCTCGGAAGCCCTATACAGGGTCACTATGAGTCAGAACTGACTCCACAGCACTTAACAACAACAACAAATACTTTAGAAACATCACACGTTCTGACTATTTCATGGATGCTTGCAGCATTGTCTTATTTTGAGTTGTGCCCAACCAGCCAATGAAGGTCCCGAAAGCTTGTCTGTCAGTGTCTCGTACTATGGTGGCTTGTGTGCTGCTGTGACACTACAACACCAGGATTTCAAATACCAGCAGTGGTACCAGTGGTGACAGGTTTCAGCAGAGCTTTCAGAGTGAGAGAGACAAGGAAATACAAGGGATGGTTGTTTCTGTAGTTAATTGCTGCTGAGTAGGTTCCGACTCATAGCAATCCCGTATAGGGTTTCTGAGCAGTGGTTGGTGGGCTTGGACCCCAACCTTGGGGCTAACAGTCCAGCGCTATGCCAGGACTCTGAAAGGTTAGCCACTGAAACCTCAGAACACTGCCTGATACAGTGCTGGAAGATGAGGCCTTCATGTTGAAAGGCACTCAAATACACCTGGAAAAGAGCCTCCTCAAAGTAGAGCTGACCGTAATACAATGGTAATTGTTGCACAACTGTATCAATTATACCAAAACAGCTGATGAGTATAGTTTTAAAGAGAAAACTTGATTGTATGTGCATCATACCTTAATAAACTCCTGATGTGGCGCTGTAGAATAAGCACTGAACCACAAGGTAGATTTGGACTACAAGGTCAGCAGCTGAAACTCATCAGCTGCTCCTCGGAAACTCTATACAGGGTCTCTATGTGCCAGAACCAACGTGATATCACTTAACAACAACAAAACCTATTAATACATGAACTTTTGGGGTTGAAGTTTTTAAAGCTTTTTCTTAGTTAAGCTAGATAGACAGATCTAACTACCCATCGTTTTCACAATTTCACATTCATCCATACCTTGGGTATTTGTCAGTAACATTCTTCCTAGATCCACAACAACTAACACCGGATTCTTAAATTTGAAATCATCAGGAAATATCACCTGAGGGGCAGAAATATCTAGTCGCACACTCCATCGTTTACTTTCTTCCTGTTAAAAAAAAAAAAATGAAGAAACTGCAATTAAATTACGTCTACTGCAGCTGCTGAAATGAAACACCTGTATTGTTAGGCTCAAGCTTTCCTGAAAGCCACATCTCTAGGCTACAGAATGATTTAATGGTCTATGGTATCAGAGCAAAAAGTTTAAAGTGAACTGAAAGTAGATTCAAATACCTAAGGATTAAATATATATAATAATAGCCTGAAGTGGGGAAAGAATATGACCAAATTACTGATCTGGGAGGTTGTCTGCACTTTAACTGTGATAATCCATGGTTTAAAATAGATCTTGATTCTATAATTAAGTTTCATTTTTTTAAAAAAATAACTTTATTTTAGAAAATCTTTTTTGTTGTATTTTTATTGTGAATTAATTGGGTGGGGATAACAAAGCAGATGAGTTTTCCATCCAACAGTTTCTCTCCATTTTGTTTCATGTCCCTGATTGCAAATCCCACAAGGAAACATCTCTTATCCCTATTTGTTTCCATTCCTCCTAATTTCCTAACCCTTCTGAACTTTGTTGTTAGGCAAATATTGCCCTTTTGATCTCAAATGTGTAAGTCTTCTAAGGTGTGAATACCTCACCAATGTTACTGTTCCCCAGGACACAGACTGGTGTACTGTTGGCTAAAAACCTGAGCCATAGGATGTGTTTATTTCCAGACCTCAACAGTGGCTAAGGGCCAATCTCTAGTTGACAGTTGTTGTTGTTAAGTGCCATCGAGTCAAGTCCAACACAGAGCAACCCTCTACAGGGTTTCCAAGGAGCGGCTGATGAGCTTGAACCACTGGCCTTGTGGTTCAAACCAACCTTGCATTCCAGCACATTAACCCCCAGTCCCACATCAGAACTCCAGAGAGACCAATAGCTGCACCGTAGACAGCTGTTCACAAGCTTTTAATACCCCAATCACTGTTCACCAAAGTAGGATGTAGAACACTGTCTTCATGAACTATGTGATTTCAATTGATGTTGGTGACCCCTGAGGCTAGGGTCCTGAGCTCCCAGGCCCAGGGACTCATTCCTTCAAGGCATATGGTTATGTCTAGGGCACTTTCATAACTTTGCCCTCTGTGTGCGCCACCACCTTACAAATATCTTGTCAAACCTATGTACATATTGTAGGTATACTCTCACTCTCCTTTCCACACCCGATCAGTCTGTATGTTTATCCATGCATGTAGTCACAGAGCTTCGTTAAAAAACTCCTACTGTCTTTCCACTCCATTTTCCCATGAACTTCTGGAGACTCCTTGTACATACCATTGCTACTGCTCTTTCTTCGTTACTAAAGTTCTCTCTCTCTCCTGTTGAAGAGCTTCCTTTAGCATTTCTTTCAGACAAGTTTTCAGAAACAAATTCTCTTAATTTTCCTTTACCTATGAATGTCCTATATTTTATCCTCAATGGAACTGCAGTCCATTACTTTAGGAGTATTAAACACTTCTAAATATTTTATTTTGAAATTTTCTGCCATCCCTTATAGTTAACAACTAACTTCAAACCTGTTCCAACTCATTGCAGTTGTACAGGTCAGAGTAGAACTGCCCCATAGGGTGTCCAGGGTATAATCTTTACAGAAACAGACTGCTTGCTATATCTTTCTCCCACAGAGTGGCTGGTGGGTTCTGCCCAAAAGAAACCACACAATTTCTGACTGCTTTATCTTAACAATGCACCTCCATATATCATTGCTAGAAACTGGGTTTTAGGGACTGTTAGATGCTCCTTGGCTCTCCCTATCTCAAGCAGTCTTACCTTAGTCACTCACTTAGTGTCACCAAGTGATCACTATGGCCTGGGACAGAAACTGGGCCAGTCTGCCAGTTGTTTTGCTTCTGAGAACAGCACATGAAAAGGGAATGCGCTTAAGTAAAACATTTACACTATCTGATGTGTAGAAAATGAAACACAAACGAGTCTTGAACGTGTTCTAAAATTTGTGATCGAGTCATTCACTTTTATTAATTAAACCTTGAATGCAGAAGACATGCTATTCTATTTTTGTTAGCTGATAGCAATGTTTTTCCCATCAAAATACTGCTGTGGAAATAATCTCAACCTGGTAATACAAAGAATGTGTTGAAAAGATTTCTAGTGTACTTGACCAGTATAATTAAGGCAAGCATGCCTATCTATAACAGAGAAAGTACTTAACAGAAAGAATGCCTGTCCTTCCCCGACACCCCAAAATGAATGAGTATGCCCACTTACAATGAAGTCACCCACTAGCAAACGATCAAGAGTTTGTCGGATTTCTGCCTTGGTCTGCATCTTCAGTTTGTTGTATTGTCTTCGGGCAGCTTCAGCTACTCTTAACTCAAGTTCAGACTGATAACCAAAACCTGCAAGAGTGGAAATATATAGGTGAGTCAGAATTGTCAAATGGCTGGGTGGAAGAAAATACTACATCTACTCTCCTCAAGAATTCCCATCAACTGGTGTAAAGAACACCAGTTGCTTACTCAACATGACCTGCCTTTAAACACAGTCACAAGAATGAGACAGAGATGGGGGAGCGGGGGTAGGTGACAACTAAGGCAATGCCTTCTGGTATTCAATCAGTGACGTATCTATGGGTACTGTTTATAGGTAGAGATTATTTTAAATTGGACAAAGAGGTGACGCTGTTGTTGGTAGGTGTCTTTGAATTGGTTCTCACTCATAGCAACCCTGTGCACAAAAGAATGAAACACTGCCCATTTCTGTGTCATCCTCACAATCGTTGCCAACTTTGAGCCC